CTTCTATGACAGCGATGTGTTATGGTTGTTTAACCTGATCAATATGATGGAAGATTGTAGCGTTGGCTTAGAAAACAATCTAAGCGGAATTTTGTGAAGATTTTTTGTCAAATATGATTTGGACAATAATCTGGGACAATAATCTTTTGGAAAGATAAATTTCCATACATTAACTTGATCTTGATCAATCAGTTTCTATGGCAGCTACAGCTTCTTGGGTAGATCGATATCTCAAAAACTGCAGAACTACACTTATATACGTGAGTTAAATCTTGATATCTGATGAACAAACAATTTAAAATTTCGAAAAGATGCCCCACGAATTTAATCGGTTTTAAATTCTAGAATTATATACTACTAGAAGACTCCGGCTACGCCTTGCTGTGGCTAAGATATAATTAAATTATATTGAGTAAGCTGTTTAATTTAGTAAAATGTTATTATCAAAATTTATTTCGGCATCTTTTGCTGTCTATATAGCTCGATTACCGATCCAGTTATTATTTAAGTAATTATTTGGTGCGTCTGCGAAAATACGGACAATTAATTAATTTTGTCCGTGTACGAAAGTGTTGAAATTGTCTGGCATTTTAGGTAATTTTGTATTTGGGTGCAGTTAGTAAATGCTCAAAATGTCATAAACATTAAAAACAAAATTTTCATTTTCCATTCACCACCAAACTTTACAAAATCACTCGCTGGGCCATCTTGACGATCGTTCAAAAATTTAGTTGAAATTGGTCTAGCCGTTTCGGAGTTTATCATATTTTGGAATACTCCTGTATATTAATTAATTTTTTATTTTATCATCATTACTGTACTTAGGAAGCGTTTTTCGTATGTTCATAAATCCAGTAAGACCTCATAAGTAAAAATCAAGTTTCAGGTGGCGAGTTGCGATAATGGAGATAGCATAATCGCCTTCTCCATGAAAAAATACATACCCATGATCGGTCAAATAGTTTCTGAGTCTATCGTTTTCATAATATACACACCCTTCTTTATATGTGCCTGTATAATATGAAATATTGTAATGTCACTTATAATTTTGCTAGTTGCTGGTCGAATATTTCTTTTAATTTTTTGCTTTCTTTAATTTCTCGAAATCTTTTGTTTTTAAGAAAGCAGCTTGGAAATCAAATAAACATCGTTACAGCATTATAAAGCATGTTTACCTAAATTGCTGTATGCAATAAATGCTAAATAACCAAAATAGTTCGTTAACTATAAATTACTTGCAACTGCAAATGATGGATGTGGATGCAAGTGCGTGCAAGTAACCAATATCGCAAAATTTACACAAATTTCTGCAAGCTGACGACGTCGCAATATGAACTCTAGACAATGCCACAAAAGCATACTCAGCTACATACTACCAAATGCTGCTCATAAATTAATAAGAATGCCACATATGTGCATGTGTGTGTATAACAAAGGCAGAAGTGTGTGTGTGTTCTTAAATATCATTTATTTGGAGTGTGGTAAATTTCAATTTGTAGCCAGCCTGCAATTCCTAGACACGGCATTTATGAAATTCCATCACTTGCCGTTACAATAACTGTAGTTGCACTTGTGTGTGCTTCAGCCTTGACATGTTTGTGTTGGTAAGTTGAGTATTTATTTGAGCACCAACAACAATGCATCTATTCATATATTTATATGCAATAGCAAAGCCACATATGTTCACCTATACGCACAGCTATAAAATATATTATTTAGCACAAACTCAGTTCTGCTGGCATATTGGCTTCCACAGAGAAGTCTTAGAATCATTTTAGATTTGTATTTCAATTATATGCATCCATTAAACGTGCCTCAACAAATGCATATACACACACACACACACATATACACATAGTTTTTTATGTCTAGCTGTATTTGCTTACTTATCAATGAGCGTAAGCGCTTGCCGCTTAGGGATTAAATGTTGCCAGGCACTATCCAGCAACATCTAACACCACAAAATTTTATAAGCTTAACTCTGTCGCCAGCATTAAATGTAACAATTTGCTCTTGTGTGTGTTCGCTCACTCTTCCATACCACACATACCATATATATATATATACCTATATGTATACGTATGGCGGCGTGTGGTAACGGCATACTCTGTAAATACAATTTGTCACTTTGTGGTTTGATGGCTGCTGCTGTAGGTACAAAACAATTACATTTTGTAATCACTTAACTTCAATTTGTTGCATATGCTGTTGCTGTAATTACATATTCGAGTTTTTGCTGTTGTTAGCTTTTGTTATTTATTTCCTTTTCGTGATTTTGTTATTATTTTTTCTTTGACTTGAGTTTAAAAGAAGTATGTCAAGTGTAGGAAAAATTAGAAAACACATTTCTTTTACTGTTTCTGTGTATATGTCTGTATGTAGTTGAGTGCTCTGGTTGTTGCATTATGCATTATAGTATATACTTGCTTTATTATTTTTAGATTTATGCAGAAATTAAATAAATATTTAGTATTGCACATATAGTATTTTATGACTTTATTATATAGTAATTCAATATTTCATTTTTGCAGTCACAAGTGCAACTTTTAGTGACATAGTTGAGGTTAAGTCTGAATTTTTAGATTTAATAATAACTGATATTTCAATATTTATGTCTGAAGGTCAGCATTTTTTTTCTATTATTATATTATATATATACTTTCTTCGTCATACTTGACAGCGTTATCTATGGAATGTTGGGAAGATTCGCCGAAGTGAGTAACATAAACGAATCGTTCTCATTTCTATGCTGCAGAAAAATGTTCCGTTTTACACTTTTTTTTTCTAGTGAGAAATTTCGTTTAGTGCTTTAGCAAGAATTAAAAATTTTCATTGATCATGCTCGTGACAGGGCATTATTTCAGGACCAGCTACAGCCTAGAGGCAAAATTAGCCAAGAAGTGGTATTTCTAGACCATTATCGACGTATTCGCTGCCGCCAAAGCTCGAAAAGCTCACTTTTAAGTTCCAAATAATCGAAAATTGGAGGATTTCAAATTGCATATTCAAAAACTTAATCATAATAGTCAACTGATTTCAAAAGACCCATTTTTTCATTAATTATATTGATAAATACATGTTTGAATGAGATGTTTCTGTCTACATATTAGCAAGCAAGTCTTGCTCACCCTATATTCATATATTTCTTTTTAATCTGAAAAAATATTGTTGGCTGAAACTCTATTTATGAACTGATTTATACATTATTGGTTTTCAAAATCGAACAAATTTATTCTAACCAACATCAACGAGTAAGCAATTTTAATACAGTTTTGATAAGTAATAACACGCTACGTCGTATTTGACTTATTTTTTAAAAACATTGAAGTGGTAATTACGAAGATAATTCATTAAATTTATAAAATATTAGAAACATTCCTGTAGAGAGGGGGTCTAGAGCGGATTGTTTTACAGGGAGCCAAAAAAATCGAAAAATTGCATTTGCAGGAAATGTTCTACAGATCAGTCTTTAACTTAAATGAATAATTGGGTATTGGCCCATGACAAATGATCAATAGAATCTCAGAATGCAGCTATGTATGAAATTTCATTTGGATATCTTAAAAACTGACGAAGAAATTTTTATAATCCTGAAAAATTAAATTTCACCTAAAAAATTGCTTGCTCGAAACCGGTTTTAGACCCATATTCTCTTACGCAAAATGGTTCAGAATTATCCGTAGAACAATTCTCGCATAAGCGATTTTTAGAAAAAAATCGCTTTAAGGGGGCTTCACCTTTTTACCCCTCGGTTCATTAGCTTTGCAAGTGAACTTATTTCAACAATTTATCAAGAGAACAGATTCACGCATAACCCCAAACTATATACCTAATTCAGGATGGTAACACAAGTAGGTTAGCCTTCATTATTACGGTTTACAGATGTAGTCTTAATCTTGGCATCATTGTGGCCAGCAAGAAATTAATCAGGTACAAAAAAGTCGTCGTTATATCATTGGCTTTATCAAAAACCCGCTGGATTTGCAGTGAAAATTTTGTATCGTTTTGATGAAGGTTTTGTGGTCTGTATCACAAATAATTTGGTTAAAGGTCTTAACTCGACATTGGATTGTTTTCATATTATATGTCACACATGGCATCCCAGAACTCACCGAATATGTGAAATTTTTATATTTTGGATTTCGAAAATCATTTGCAATCATTGCGATGCTTTTCACATCAAGTAGGGGATCTAAACACAGCTTTTAGGGCTTACATAACACTCAAACAGATATTATTATATATTATATTATTACTGAGATTGCATTATTCCCGGATATAATTTTCTAACGCATTTTATCAATACCAACTATCAATAAAACGTATGCGATAGTTAATTAGTTTATTTTGCCTTCAAGCTAATAAAAGCTTATTGCCTTTTTTAGTAAGCTAATATATGTACATCCCAATATCAGAATTTATATTTATTTTTACTAACGCTCAAAATTGATTAGCTATAAATTTCAACGGTAATATCGTTAAACGTTTCATTATTATTTTTCCAGAAATGTGCAAACATATCTTCTACATATACATACATATATGGATTCACATCTAAATGAACGCATAATTTTATATTAGACCACATTTTAATAGAAAAATCTGCACTTCGCATTCTCAGCTTATTTATGCCGCGGCACGTTGAATGATGCCACTAAATCCGGCGACAGTATATGGCTAAGCTGGTTATCTGCCACCTGAGCACATGCCGGCATCGCCGCCGTTAATGTCGCTGACCTGACTTGCACACAATAAATAGACGCCCAACGCGAAGTCGCGTCGAGCACGCTTTGCCTTTACATAATGTAATTATGTGGATTTTTCGTCCGACATGCACAAAGCCGCAGACGCCGCTGTTGGCTGGGGCGGATGGGAAAAACGAATAATCTCAACCTCAATTCAACGTGAGTGGAAATATAAAAAAAGGTAATGAAAAAGTGTGGAAAAATATATAAATAGGCTTTGTGGATGTGTCTGTATTGTGCTGGTTGTTTACTTACCACAATGGCTCCGTGAGAACATTTTTGCCGCTAAAACTGTATATGCGCGGCGCTTGCGAGAAGAAGCCACCTTGGCCGTTGAAGATGCCCTTCCACGAGTTGAAGAGGACGTCACCTCTGGTATTCACTACCGGTAGATCGCGGTCTGCGACACGTACAATCGAGTCAAGATTTTGCACTCTGCGTAGAAAGACAAAAAAAAAAAGATACAACAATATAAATATATAAGTTATGAAAATTATTTTATTTTTAATAAGGTTATGTGAAATTGTATTAAATATGAAGTTTTTATATTTCATCGTATGGGTTGGGGTGTAGACATTTCGAAGATTGCATAGTGTAATCTTATTTATTAGAAACACTTAGAAATGTTTCTGAGTTTTTAAATTTAGATTAGTCATTTTATTTTGATATTTGAACTTTTGCATTTGACGAGCTTTGGTGTATTTTGTGACAAGATGTTTTTGCAAAATATTTTAGGACACTTTGAGTTTTCTGGACTACTATTTCAAGGCGTACCCATAGTAAATAAAAATAAAATAAAATAATGGCGCTCGGTTCAATCAGCTCCATCAGCTCATCTTTAAACTCGTTTTTGTACTTAAATGTGCTTGAGCGATTAACTGGAAGCAAATGATCCAATCGCTATTAATTTTTTTCAGCATTTTCTCCATAATAATAACCTACTAGCTTTTAATTTGAACAAAACTTGAATTTTGGCACTACAAAAATTACAAAAATTTTGGATAAAAATCAACTTTTTTTAATATTTTTGTCAATTTTTGATTTTTTTCGACTGCAGCTTATAAAGGGCAATATCTTGTAGTAAAGAATTTGTACTTTTGAATCCATGGAGAAGATCGGAATTACTGCAGTAGTGGACGGTCCGCTTTTGTTTTAGCGCCGTCGGAGATTGCCTGTAGCTCAAAAATAGTAAATTTTCGCATAAGATTTCTCGAGCTTTGGCTTTTCAAGACACTTCACCGAGTTAATGAATAAATCTGATGAGATTTTTAAAGCATTATTTCCTTAAGAAGTACTGCAGCAAATTTAAAGCGAATAATTCATTCCGTTATACATATGTACGTATGTATGTAAGTGACATCTTTTTACACTTTAAATCAAAATCAAAAGCACCATGACATTTAAGATAAGTGGCAGATACATATTGTTGTTGTTGTTGGTGTTGTGGCTTTTACTTTGCCGTTTAACACGCGCCTTCAAATATGCTACTCATTCTTTGTTTTCATTTGTTTGAGCATCTGTCAGCATCAGCGTCAGCTGGAGCAGCAGCAACGGAACCCACAGGAAGCTCTCTAGGTGTGTGTATGTGTGTGTGCAGTGCGATTGCGATAAGCACCAGCAGAAAAGCGCTTTGTAAGTTTGTGTATGTATGTGCCCTTCAAATGTGCGCGGAAATAAAGAAGACAATAGCTGCAACAAAAGCAACACAAACTGTAGCATAATTTCAGGTGCTTAAGCGCAATTATTTTAATTTGATCAAACGATGATAAGGCTTTTGTTTTCTCTGTGCGCTACGATATACCGTTACAAGCTGTCATGCTCACAAGTGCTTTGTATGCCTTTACACCTTGCTACATGCCACATGCTAGTCGCGCAACGCTGTTGATACAAGTGCCACAAAAATAAAGTTTGTTTGTGTCCCGGTAGGCCATTAATTTTGGTTGTACTTTTTCTGCCGATTGCTCACACCGCGCTCCTCACTTGGCTGCTTCGTGTGGGTGGGGTCGCATATTTATTGGGCTTTCATCATTGTGCCTCTTTCAGTTTCACTTTTACTTTCACCTCGACTTGTGGTTTATGAAAATTGTTTAGCCATAATTTAAAGCTTGGTGGCATGCCACTGCTTTTGTCATTCTCATTGCCATTTAAACCATTTGAACTGCACTCTCGTTGGTCGTGCCCTCTGTCGCTTTTCCGCCCTGTCACTCCTTCGCACTTTTTATTACTTAACCGCATTCATTCGTTCACAAATGTGGCAGCAGCTTTCGCTTTCGCTGTCGCTGTCGCTTCGCCATCGCCTGCGTTCGTTCATATGTTTAGAAGATTTACGATGCCACATAATCCGACTTGTGTAACCAATGCCCGCCCTGACCTGCTTACTACTCCTTGCGACGTCTGTTTTCTGCTTTATGTGCGAGCTTAAGTTGTAATTGCCATAGCAGACTTTTATGTCTCTTTGAAGTGTTTGTGTGGAGTTGTAAGCCAGCGTGTAATTCACGTTTAGTTGGAACTTACAAAAACAAAAAAACAAAAAAAATAATTGTTGAAAAAATCGAATAAATAAATAAAAGAATGCAATTTATTCATCGGCTGGCGTTTGATTGCTTTTTGCTGATTGTTTATGACCGTTAGAAATTTTGTGCGCGTGGCTGTGCTCGCTTATAAATTCCGCCCAACTTGAAAGGAAAAGTGCGTGGACTCTTTGTAATTTCCGAATTAATTAAATATCTGCTCTTACATACATTATTTATATACAAAACTTGGGATCAAACAATTTTTCAATTGAAAGAACTAAAGAATTTTAAAATTCAGCTGTATTTTTGAACATTTTCTAAGCATCTCTAATCTTTTTTTTTAACATTTCAATTTAACGGCATCTTTATATAATATTTACAAGTTCAATCAGTTCGTATTAGAATAAATTTAGAATGAGATCTTATTTATATATAAAAATATGTTCCTGAAAGTTTCGTTTCTTATAAAAAGTATTGAAATTATTAATAGAAAGATATGTTATGATCCAAGTGAGTTTCATCTACACTTTTGGCTTTTAAAGAGACTATTATAAGCACAAACAATAATAGAGGTTACATTGTATACTTCAATTCAAGTAAATGAAAAACAATACTAATAAAGACTTGGGCAAGAAGGAGGATTACGGGAGATTAGCTTATGCTTCGAGAGAAATATTCAAAATGGATATCAGAGTTTGACCTAATTAATGCTTTAAGCCTCCTAAAGATTGAGATAAGTCTTCTTCTTATGTAATTAACTTCGACTCCAATTTGTTTGCCTCGAGGTATTATGGTATTGAGTATTGGTGGTTCTATGTCAATTTTGGAAATGAAGCAGCGGTTACCATATGTACTTGTATCTCTCAAAAAATTTCGTTAAATGATATTCAGTATTCTTTTTAGCATTGGAAAATGGCCCGCTATAAACATCTACAAATATGGAAAGGCCAGCCATGTTGAAGGCGAGGAGCTGACTGGATCTCTTTTCATTTACTCCTATCCAGAAGGACTTTGAGACTTCCCATGTACTGATGATTATATTGCGTACGTCAACCTTAACTCGTCTATCAGTATACCGTGAAAGGTACCAGCGTGAAGATACTGAGACAAGAGTCTCTTGCTTTGCAAGCTCATTAGCATGCGAGATACATAGATTGTGTGTTATATATATTAACTCTGCCTAGTAAATACGTTATTTCAAATATTACGTTAGGTTAGCTTAGGTAAACAGGCTGATCTTCATGAGGTCACGAATAACACCACTTGAGAAGCGAGAGCCGTCTGTTCGTTGTGATGTTTAAAACTGCAAAGAGTAACATAGTTCTATAAGAATGTCGCATGTCGACAAAGCGCCTTGATCCTGCCAGAAATTTTTTTGGCGGTTAATATTCTAGGCAATTCACTTGTTTCGTAGCAGATTTGACAAACCGAGATGTTTCAAACTTAGTTCGTCGTATTTAGAGTGACATTAATTGCGATCGCCAGTGCCGCACTAATTTGCCGTAAAATTACGATTTCGTAAAGCCAAATCACAAATTTGGGTAAGAGATTCTACCATTTCCCTTATTGGCTCCTTTACAAGAAATTAAGGCAACCGATGCCTTCTTCACACTTTTCTTAATATTGGGCCTCCATTATAGCTTTCTATTAAGGATGCTGTCCAACTAAACTACCTTTTCGACAGGGTGAAGTCGAGAGCTCCCCAACATGGGAGATGATGTATTCGGGAATTTATACCATCTGGTAGAAAAGTATATTTAAGTTCAGTTTTTTTATATATGAGTTGTAAACTTGTAAAGGGTATAGCGGAATTTAAAGACAATAATTGCACTCAAAATCTTGAAGGTTTTAAAAAAATATTACCACATGTTCAAAATACAGCTATATTATTATATTTCTTACATATATTACAAGATAATAATTTCAATAGTCGCATTTGTATAAATCGATGTGCAAATGTTGCACGCATCCAAAAACAAAAAAACACAAATAACAAGAAGATGTTGACAGCACACAACTTGCGAAATCAGCGAAACACTTGTTTGTTTTAATTAAATGCCAGATCATAAGAGATACGCGCAGTTGGAGCAATTATTTTCAAGTGTCAAAGAGAGGAGTAAAGTCGAGTTGTCGCTGTAGCAGGTAACGACGCTGTGCCAAACTACTAAGCGCCCCGGCAAAAATGCGCGCTGCTATGGAGATGTACGTCAAATGAGCGAGTGCCGTTGCAAATGTGCTGGCGGCGAGTTGAAAGAGGATTGTCATCAAATGCAGGTGGCAGCTCGAGGAATAGCAGTAACGTGTTTGCTACTAATTAAAAGGTGAGTTTATGCAACAGCCAACATGCGGCACTTAAAGAAACAACTACAAACACACACGCACGCATACAAGTGTGGCTGCGGAGATAGTGCCAAGATAGACGAAGCAGTAAGAAGACCGACTGCGAAGTGCATTAAATAAATGAACCCATGTCTATGTTACTATATATATATATATCTGTGTGTGTGTGTGAAATGCAGCCAAACGCTGCAGCGATCAAGTGACAAGTGCGTCGAAGTATGCGCTGAGTGACAGGAAAGCGCCAAACCGTTGCGTATATCTATAAGTTACGTAGTTAGCGGAAGACAACATGTCGTAGAAGCTGAAGCTGCCGGAATACCATATAAATGTATGTGTATATATATGCAACTAGGTGCAAGCATGTTATGCAGTGTTGTAACTGCAGGCTAAATATGTAGTTATCGTTTCGTGTTTGTTGCAGCTGGTGTAGTTAGTCAGTATAGCCGAAGGAAAGCGCGTTGACTTTGGTGCAAAGATATGCGAGTACAACAAACTGAAATGCGAAGGAGAAAGGAGATGCTCTAGCGTTTATGTATGAGCATTAGGGTGTGAATTAGCTGCTAAATTTACTATTTATTTATTCACGTCATCTAAAACTATATTCATATTGGTTGGTTTGCATGAGTTTCAGGCGTCTGACATAAGGATGCAGTTTAAATTTCTTTAATTAGTATCCCAAATTTTATTTTTTCAATTCAAAAATATTAATTATACATCTATGGGTGAATACAACGCATATTAATTTTTATTGTGTCTAGCATAACCGAACAGGATCAAAATATATGAATTATCCTCGAGTATATCATCAATAGCGAGGCTTATAAATATGCTGTCAAAAATGTCCTTTTACATTTAAGAACCACCCTAATAAATACATTTTATATTTAACATATACTTGAGCATGTATGTGCCTGTGAACGCAACTCTCGCATTAAATTGTCTACGCATCCGGCCAGTAGTTGCGCATACGCGCTGGTGTACCAACACCAGTAGCTGGCAACCGTTCGGAGCGACGCGGTGAGGTGTGCCGCTGCAATTGTAGAAGGTACTGCATAATGTATGCAACATTTACTGTTCAACTTGACCCAAATATTTGAAATAGTTGTTGTTGGCGCAAGCATAGCTGCTGCATGCCAGTGTGTATGTGTGTGTTTGTAGAGGTAAATGCGGTCCTTACGGATATTCAGTACATGTATGCATTTATTGCTGACTGGCTTTGTTGAATTTACACTAAATTATGTAAAACAGCGCACTGCTGACGCTCGACTAAAACAACAATGGATGGGCGGTAGCGGCAGTAACAATGCGTACGAAGCGTTTAATTTTAAGAAATTATCATAAGCAGGGCGTCGTACATTTAATGTGTCTCGGTCGCTAGTTGTGGAATGCGTAGCGAAATTTGTTTGCACTTGTTGTTGTACGCTCAGTATTTAGGTTAAAAATTTTAATAAACCAAGTTAACAAGCTGCAGATATGAGGTGAGGTGAGGTGAGTTGAGGAGCGGCAGTACAGTACAAGACATGACTACGAGTATGTAGCCAACGACCGTCAGTTGCTGGTGTGGCAAGAGCAAATGAGATCGAGTAGACGCAAAACATGAAAGTGCTTACTTTTGTATGGCAGCAGCGTCTACTTGTTCTATTTGCAGCGCTATTTCGCTGCTGTAGGTCATGCTTGTCCTTGGCCGCTTAGCTGTATGCTTGAATAGCCGTTGCCACCCCAGTAACCAGCTGCCAGCTGCTACAAGCACGAGTGTACAAGCGTAGAAGCTAATTTTATATATAGGTGAGTGGGTAGGCGCTGGTTATTGTTGGTGAGTCTGGAAAGAAGCTAACAGAAGTTTAGCAAAATATGAAGCAACGCAAAGAAAGTGAAAGTAAAAGCAAAAGTAAGCATCACTTGTGCTGTGGCAACGTCAGAGAGTCCACAAGGCACGGCTTGTCTAACACACTAACACTCATGCACATCATTAGTGTAAACACTGCAATGAAATTCACTTTTTAGTTCAGTCATAGTCCGGCGCACCTGATGGCCCAGCGCTACTGGTTGTTAGCAGCTGGCCATAGCATTGCTTCTTTATACATCTCAAGCATTGTAAGACATGGTCACAATAGTAGGCAAACACATACATGAACACAAGTTTATTTTTATGCATTTCGCTTTCTTTCCTGCCATAATCGTAGTCGGATGTGGAAAGCGTTGTAATTGAAAATAATGAGGGCACTTGTAAACACTGCTCAACTTGTAAATTGTTTTGGCCAGTTCTATCAAGTTTTTTATTTTCAAATTCTGTTTTTGCTTTTTGTTTATTTGTTTACTAAGTTATTGTCAATTAGTATATTTGTTTCCGCTGTGCTCATGCTGATGGCAGCTACAATTTGCTTGAATAAAAGGCAAATGTGTGCTTCCGGTGCTGAAAATAAATTTATGATGACTTTCAAGCCCGCTGCTGATATTGGAGTGTTGACATTAAATCTCTTGTTTAGTTATAATACCTATTAATAAATTTTTAAGTTATGAAAATACTTTTGGTAGGGAATGAGGCAGTAAATTTATAAGAATTATCCATTTTGACTTGGTCGTTCGTTTATGAATTAGAAGCGGCATTTTACGGAGATAAAGTACCAGAAGTATATGACATGTTAAGTAAATAAAAGAAAATACTCTAATTCGTAAAGGCTCGCAATTGGTTTCAGTGAAGCTAAGCAGTAGGTTGATTTTCCTTTGCATAGCACTGTCCTGGAGTGAGGTATTACAAACTTTCAGTTTTGTCTCAATCACTACCTGTGGTGGTGTCGTCAGATTTTTTATCATTCAAACAGCAATTTTTATAATCTTAAAAACATCGCTTCGATACTCGTCTAAATATTATCGTTTTATCTTAAATGGCGCAAGATGAAAATCATATTGTATGCATAAACAATTTTATATTGTAAGTTATAAGAAAAATTAGACAAGATAGTTACTGGACTCTTAGAGCATAGTTCTCCATGGACTCTTGATAGCTTAATATTATATTTGTGTGCCTTAGAGATAGATTAGATTTTGTACTAAAGAAACTTCTCAGACAGTTTTATTTTTTCTTGACTTGGTATTGTTTGAGCACGCGTCAAAGGGCAAACAGAAAATATATCATATTTTATGTTTTTTCTTTGATAAAGACGAAAACGCAAATCACGCGGCTGCAATTGTAAACAGTATTTATAGTTCCGATACTCTAATAGCCAATCTTGCGCATTATTTGTTTCGTCGATTTCTTTGCAGTAATTTTGATTTCAAACTGCAAGGAAGGTTTTCATATGTATTTAATGGTATTGAGAAATAATTATTTGGCCTGTACTGTTAACAATTTTACTCTCCGAAGTAAGCAATTGCCCAGAAGCGGTCAGCTTTAGGACAACAGGAAAGAAATTGTGGTTCATCAGAACAATGCCAGGCTTTTGGCATGCAATCGTTATTCACTTACCGTTATCGTATTTCACTATTATTGTTTAATATCTTTACTTCATTTTGATTGAATGACGCTTCTAGTAAGCCATGTATTGCTGGTTTACAGCCGCAATTGGACATTTAAGTGTGCTCTCTCCTCTAATCATAAGCTGTCTTTAAAATGTGACAAAATGGTGAATGCTAAAAGAATTTTTCTCATTACAGAGGATATGTGAATTTTTTTTAGGTTGAAGACGCATGTAAGCTCCTGAAGGATAAACAGCTTAGCTGATATTAATTTTATCAAACGTTTTCTATTAATTTTTAGATGCCTCTCGGGTAACAAAAGACGAAGATCCAGAACAAGAAAAGGGTTTATGTGACTCCATTATGATTTTGACAGTACATGGTATTTTAATATATAAATTACCAAAAGACTTTTTTTCATGGACAAACGCACATATTATTTCGGTATTAAATCAACGTAATTACTCTTGTATTAACAGAAAAAGGCAAACCAATATTTGCTTAATATGCTGAATTAATTTTACTAGTGATCTAATCAAATAAATTCCACATAAAATATTTCATTCGATTTTGCGGTTCGCCAATGCAATGTTAGCAATTCTTCTGGTTAAATTGCGCGTTGATTTAATTAAAATGCAACGTTGCCGCAAAGGACACATACAAACCGTTCCATGAGTGTTTGTAACAATAATAAACAAATTTGACATAATAACTGTATATATTTACCTGGATGACAGGAAGGCTTTGAAGGTGCCCAATAAACCGGCACGACGCCCCTGACGATAGCAAGCGAAGTCAGCGCCGCGTATGCCCTGCAAATCGCCGACGTATGGCTCGTTGAGTGCCGCAACGCGAAGCTGTTCAAAGTAAATAACGGTAGAGGGAGGGTTAGTTGTTAAACATTTAATAAAAAAAATATATTTTTTTGTAAAAATGAGTGTTGGATTGCTAAATTCGCTTGAATAACGCACAAGTGCCTTGCGCTTGAAATCACATAACGCTAATGTTGGCGCGGGTAAATTCATTGGCTTGGTTGTTTTTTTCCACCTTTTGCCAATCAATTATTTAGCCAACAGTGCATCATTTATAATGTGTGTGCATAGTTGAGTGGACTAAGTGACTATGCATGTTTAACTGCTTGTTGACATGTTCATTTGCATATTTACACTTGCGCACACACCGGAGTACGCGCGTATGCCCGTGTGTGCGCCCGTAGTGGTGTGACAATGTATTATTTGCTTTATCATTTTTTAATTGAATTTATATGGACTGCATGAGATATAAAATAAAATTTTAAATACAAAAAAAATTAAGTATTAAAGATAAATATATGTGTTTGTTAATTTTTCAGTTAATTGTCTGCTAGAAAATGGCGTGTGTGTGAACCGAAACCGCGCTCCACATAATTATGCTCATTTGTCAAGCAATTAAAACTATGCCAACGCGCAGAAAATAAAAACAAAACGCAATTAAATTAATCTGCAACTTTTATGTATGCAAATCACAACAAAAAAACTTTAAGGTGAATAAAAAATATGTTTGGCGAAAAAGTGGTATATAAATCATAAAATGCAATTAAAGTTGCTAAGTGATGATATGTATTTTAAACTTTGATTGTAGTCGGTCTGTTTTTCTGTTGTTGTTTTTTTGTTTTTTTTTTAAGTTTTTTTTTTAATATGGGATTAACTTTTCGAACTCACCATGCGTGGATACCACTGTGCGGTCAGCAGGGAATGTCGATTTTTGCGCGGTTATGATATTGTTATTTTGCGATTTAAATATGTACATAAATAAATGCACCGCAGAGCGACCCGAAGCACCCGAGAGCGTAGCATTTAAATTGATTGTTAATTATTTTTAAATGAATTTGCGGTTGTTTCGTTTCATTTTGAAAAGAGAAGAATTTCATTATTAGATAATTGTAGTTAGCTTTCATTTAAATAAGCAAATTTCATTTTACTTTTGTTTTTTGGAAATATATCAAAAACTACAAAAACAAATTGCGCAACGTTTAAACTATTTGAGGGAGCAACAATTATGATGGAAATGTAAAAAGCCACACATTCAAAACATGGCAAAATATAAAGTTTTCAAAGTGTTCAAAAAAAGCAAAGTTATAAATAAATCACAGTTGTAGATAAAGCAGAGTTAAAAATAAAGCAGAGTTATAAATAAAGCAGTGTTATAAAAAAGCTTTGATGTAAAAATGTGTGGAGTTTTTTAAAGTATTATTAAGCAGCGTGATTTATGTGTTTGTATGTTTTAAGTAAAGTCATGGAATATATTTTATAGCACAGTGTAAATAAAATAAAAATTGCAGTGTTTTGTAAACAATGCTGGTTTTTAAATCGCCTTATGCTTTGTAGTGCTTTGGAAAACCTTTCTGTTCTTTAAGTTGCTTTGTGTAAACGTAATCATGTTTTCCCAGAAAAGGCTTGAAAGTAATAGGTGTAACGTTTGTGTTTGACAAAAATATAAATGCAAAAGCAGATAATACTTTCGTTATAAAAGCTTTGCTAGATTTTCTGCGCTTGTGCTCTAATAATTCATATTTATTTTTCAATAGAATAAAATTTATGATTACATGAATTCATGTATATTTTTAGTGCATGCGTAAAAAGTGTCTATGTATTCCTAACTCCAGAACTCTACAAAGCACTGAAAATCTTATATCGGTTTTTTCACAGACAGCTTACAGATTTTAAATGTATGTGTATGTATCGAAAAGCCGTTTTTGCTGTAGTAATTTGTGAAAGCGATTTAATAACAATTTTTTGGAAATGTTCTTGCCTTCTTGAAGCTGATTGATTTATCGGAATCCCCTAAACAGTAATTAGATATTCATGCTCAGTTTCGAATAAAGAGAAAAATTACAGGTGTCCAAAAACTCATTGAAATTAAAAACGCAATATGATTCGGGCAGTAATAATATTGCTTGCACGTATGTTTAAAAAAATTTCAAGGTAATTGAGCTCTAAGCACACATAGGACTATTTTTGTATATTTTCTCACAAAAGCGTGTTATATTAGACATCTGCTATTCATTATTTCTTCAAAAACATTTCGTTTATTCATAAAATTTGTAATGCCGGATGTAAGCTGCAACATGGTTAGGAATGCCTTATACCGATAGTTGTTTGCAGACACGCAACCTTCTCACTGAGTAAATGACCGATTTTGATTTTTGGGAGACGCAACTGTTTTTTCTTAAAGCTACCAGTAGAGGTAATTGTGATCGCATATTCATAAGTTTGAGCAAGAATAAAACATAGAGATTTTTTCGCTCTTAGCTAGAGTGGGACGTAGCTAGCATATCAGTTTTCTTGCTTTGATATGACTTTTTGTCAAGAAATAAAAACAAAAGCATTTTTAAAATTTTATTACATAAGATAATTCATAACCAATGCTGAATAACACTCTTATTCAGTTGATGTAAACTGAGTTTGAGAATCAAGGAAAATATCTTCATACATTGCCAGCTTAAAGGTTTATATCCTCTTGCAAGTCAGAAAAAAAGCCTTTGCATGTGAATTTTTTAACACAATTTTTGTTCATAAAAAAACAAAAAAACATGTTTATTCGCAGGATTTAATGTACTTTAATAATCAGCCATTGATTTTAAAAATTTTTGGATTTCGTTGATCCCAAGGTCGATCTCCAGGAAGACCTCTGAAAAAGGTATCTGGCTGTGAGGAACATTTTTCTGCCTTAAGTTATTTCAAATTAAACTAAGGAGGGGCTAAGTTCAGATGTATCGAAGAGGCAAAATTTAATATGTTGAGTTTATGTGAAAAGCGTCGACAAGAAGATCGCAATTGATGATATAAAATATACGAGTATAAGATTATGACTAAGGTCTAGGCCAATGTAGGCTATATGTGGTATAATATAATTGGAATTAAAATATAGTATATCCAATTATAATCTCAGCTCTTAGTTGAAGAAATCGTTCTCCCAACTTTATTAACTTTCCTGATATTGACACATTTTTTGCAGGATTAACTATTGGTAATCAGTCAAAATATATGTAGAAATTTAACAAAAATTTTTAATAAAGCATGAAAACCAGAGCCAGGGATATTTCCAATATCTTGTATTACTGACATTAAAGAAATATGAAGATTTCCAGAAATATTGGATATTCCTTGGATTAATTATAAAATGTACTCTCTTTCATCATATGTTTATTTTTAATTTCTCTGAGTACTGAGGTGGTATTATGTATTTAGGGCATCCAATGCCCATTATTCTAATTCTATCACTCTATGTTGCCAGATAATTAATATTATACTGAAGCAAAAATGAAAAATTGGTTTAGAAAATTTTTTTATATACACAAATTGTGAATTTTTTACTAAAATATTTATACTGTCGCAACGTGTTGCACTACTTCAAACTAGAGCTTGGAAAATTCCTACAAAAATACAGCAATATTTTCATTTAAATGCAAAAATTTAAGAATTCCACAGAAACAATAATTTAATTTGTTGTCCAGTAACCTGAAATATCCTTCAATACTCACATATACATTCACTCACACTCGCCCTCATATGCGCTTTTGGTTAATTTTCACATTTACGTAATCAATCAGAAGTGCAATTGTTGTAATTAAAATCTTGTTTACGCATTTAATTTGCTGTCAGTTTGTGACACGAATTATTTAAATGTATAAGTAAATATGTAAATAAATATGGTCATTATTTTCGCGTCATTACGCATTGCAGAAAACATAAGGGCATATTGAATAAAAGCGAATACAATGCAAAAACGTTCACATACATTCCGACGCATGTAGCATAAGCTTATGTAATAATTGAAAGCGATTTGTCAATTGGTAAGCTGCTGAGTTATGAAATAATATGTTGCCAAGTATCCAACAGGCTTGTGTAAATATTATTTTTATCTTGCTACATAAATAACATGTCATCTCTCGAGGGCTACTAATCAATCTAACTTGAACTGCCAGAAATAACATTTGCAGGTATCCCAACGGCAAGTGGCAGAGAAATGAAATAAGAAAGAAGAAAATAAATAACAAATGCTTATGACATGCAGCAAAAGCTTGTAGTGCGGGATTATTGCGAAAATAACTGATTATTTCGTACCCCCAACTCGCTCGAAGACAAATGCCGAATATGTTGCGTATACGTCATGTACGCCCCCTCCAGGTGTGTGTGGGCGTTAGTGCCTCAAAGATAGCCAAACGGTTAAATAACTCCATCGCCACTTGTATAAATATTTATTTATTGGCCTTACGTACATATTTATGAGTAAGCAAGCATGTTCGTATATGTGTTAATATAACAAGAAGGAAGGGCTATGTTCGAGTGTAACCGAACTTTTTAAACTTTTTCAACTTTCAAGAACCAAAGAACGGAAAATTCAGGTGCTGACAAAACCTTATATTAAACAATTAAGAGAGAGCTAAGTTCGGGTTTAACCGAATATTTTATACTCTTGCAACTTGCAAGGATCAAAGCAGGAAAAATACCTTCAGGTATTAGGAAAGCTTTATATTAAAAAATGTTGCGAAAAATTCAATATTCATTATTCGATGAAATTGTAAATGGATTACAATAAAATTTGGTATTTTATTAAGTTAGCTAAAGTGGTATTAAAATCATCTTTAAATGAGATATATGGGATATACTGGTAAACTCAACTGAAGAAGCTATATTTAATGAAATAAGTTGATCAGAAAACATCAGCAATTCATTATGTCAGGGATATAAGGTTTGAATCAATGCCGAGACCAATTTCATTCATCTTTCCACACAATTTTTAAGAAAACTTGTTCATTTAATTATTGTCATTATCCAGATTTTGTCAGGTGGAAAGTCGAAAACTATTATACAGG